GGGTGGGGGGAGGTCCCACGTGTTTAACGATCGCACAAACCGTCGCCTCAGAAAACGAGCAGGACCGCAGAGACCGAATGAGAGACATTTTTCCAAATGTGCCGAAGGGGGGCAAAAGAAAAGGCGGACACTGAACTTTTAACCCATCGCGTCTCGAGAGCTGATTCCTCTGAATACGGCAGCTGTGCCCTGTAGTGTAACAGTAACGGAGCCTCGCAGGAATGCGATCCAGACGTAAGGAACTGTAACTGTAACCTAGTATTTTGCCTAGCAAGTGGTCGTTGTGGTTAGCTAACTATGGGTGTTAAGTTATCCCATAGCAGCCAAAGTGCTCAGCCACTGTAATTACCCTCTCCTTTGCAGTAATTGCAATCATGCCATCCACACATGGCAAAGATGATTGTGGAGATCAAGTACTTCACAGTGTGTTTTTTTTAATAATACCTTCATCGTGTAATAATAGTGGATGTTAGACTAATAAATTCCTGCTTCTTGTATGCTGCCAGGTATCCACTGCTTAACTCACTTTTAATATTTGATGGAGCTGTTTTATGTTGTGATTTAGAATGTAAGACAACCAGCCTGGACCAGGAGGCTCGACTGTCCCCATCGGGTTAGATCTTTGGTAGTGGTAGTTTAAGCCCCTGGAGGCACAGTTCTCAAGTGGGTGAGAATCTTCCTTTTTAGCGCGCCGAGCTTTTTTTAAGCCGACACCTTACCTTTTAATATTCCGCATGCGCGTGCGTCTGTGTTTTCCTCGTCTGCTGTCACTGGAAACATTTTCATGTTTGTGGACGTGTAGCAATGTAGACAGTGAAGCCCTTGTTACTTTCAGCAAACACTATAAAGAGCCCAGCTGTACTGTGAGGACAGGATCTTTTTCCGGGAACAGAGGGTACAGTATTTATAACCACCCTGACTGAATTGTGCAGACCACCGTCTCTCTTCTCCCCACCACATCCCATCCCACTGTTCTCCTGGGCCCTCTGATGATGTTACAGAGCCTCCCAGTCGTGTCTGACCTTGAGCATCCTTGCCCAGCACCTAAAGCAGTGAATGAGGTGCAGCACGCCACTGTTCATACATGAAGGGCTGACAGGTCATGTTGCACTCTGCTGATGTCCGCCATTCCTGTAGCTCAGGATGCACAGATAGAAGATTCAGTCAGGCCAGAAGGTCTAGGACTTCATCAAGTTACTCTAGTTTTTGTTTTTCTGCAGAGAGATGCTTACTCATCTTCTCTTACTCTGCCTGCAGTGCAGGTGGGTTTTCCTCCCCTGTCGACGTGCGTCTCATCTTTTGACGAATATGATCTGAAAACTTTGCTCTGTCCGCGTCTGTATGTCTTTTTGTTTAGACACTCCTTCCCCATTCAGGAGCTCCCTCCACATCAACGCAAACAGCTTCCATCTATAGAGCATTTGCACAGCACAAGCGAAGAAAAAACGGTGACAAAAGAAAAAAAAATGAGCAGAAAGGTTCAGACTGGGGGGTGTTTAATTTAGCTGCCTTGACGTCAAAGCGTAACGTGTCAGATGAGCCATCACAAAATGCCGCACGAGCAAACCTCTCCGTATCTGTGGGGCTGCGGAAGTCCTACGGGAATTTGGGATGCTTCTTTGGTTTTTCGCGTGTGTGGACTTGTAAAACGTCCAGCCCCGTTTTAACACTCTGAATTTTGGCCCCCCGTTGCTTCTCCAGGCTGGAGGGACGTTGATGGCTGTGAGCTGCGCCACAAGGGGCAGAAGGAGGCCCTAGACCAGCTGCTCAGCCAGATCAAAGAGGCCCACCAGCACTGCAGGTGTCACGGTAAGAGCTCCCTTTCCTCTGCCTGATACTGCATGCTTCCTGATCCACACCGTGGTGCTGAGGTACAGAAGTAGTATGTGCTCTGTCCGATGCCTGCTTATGATGGCTCCCAGTTTATTTAGGTTTTGCCTTGCGGTACTGAACACCTCAGCCAGGTGCATTTTAGCTTGTCCTGTAGTGAAACTGAAGAGACTGAAGGTATGTAGGTGGTGTTGAAAGGAGGCTGTCCAAGTGGCAAAAGGGTTTCTAGGGGTCCAACAGTGATCCACAAACTAAATCAGTCCAACCCCTTAGCCACCATTTTTCCCTGCACTGACCGAAAAGGTGAATGGCTGTTTCCTCCTGCCAGCATTTAAACAAATCCACCACTCTACTACAATTGGTAATTATCTTTTTAGCCAAAGATGGATGGGTTTTTGATGGATTTTCTTGTTCCCTAGTCTGTGGGAAATCCTGTTTTAGTTTGACAACCCAATTACCACATACGAATCTTAGTACTGGTTTGCCCCACCCTTTCATATACAAGGCCTTCATTGACAATATCTGTTCTCTATTTACTCATGGGAACCATACTGTTACCCTTAATCACTTGCAATCATCTAGGAAATGTTGTTCAGCCCCTTTGATGGGCTTCTTGAACTACAGAATATAGCTGGAAAAAGGTAATTGAAATCTAAACAGGAAACATTGCAAAGACACATTCTATCCTGATACATCATTTCCATGAGACTATATTGCCAGCAGCCATATCACCCTGCAACTCACAACTGGCAGCCCACTGAAGCTCAGCTCAGCCTGGCTGGTACCTGGATGGGAGACCTCCAGAGAAAAACTAAGGTTGCTGCTTGAAGAGGTGTTAGTGGGGCCAGTAGGGGGGCACTCACCCTGTGGTCTGTGTGGATCTTAATGCCCCAGTATAGTGATGCGGACACTATACTGTAAAAAAGCACCGTCCTTTGGATAAGATGTAACACTTAGGTCCCAATCCTAGGGTGTTTCTTGAAAAAAGTAGGGGTGATACCCCATCATTCTGGCCAGATTTCCCATTGGCCTTTACCAATCATGGCCTCCTAATAATCCCCATCTATGAATTGGCTTCATCACTCTGTTCTCCTCCCCACTGATAGCTGATGTGTGGGGAGCGTACTGGTGCACTATGGCTGCCGTCGCATCATCCAGGTGGGGCTGCACACTGGTGGTGGTGGAGGGGATTCCCCATTACCTTTAAAGGGCTTTGACTGGACTGTCCAGAAAAGTACTATATACGTGTAAGAATTCTGTTATATCCTTGACCTATAAAAGACTCTGTTTCTAATTTTAACTTTTGCAAAAATACCTACATTTTTAATATTCATAGTCAGCAGTAATGAGAAGGAAAGAGAACTATACATATCCTTAGATTTCTGTTAAGTTTTTTTAGCCAGACAGATCATTGCATTAGATTGCTCCATGCACGCAGCTGCACTTAATGTGATTACAGCCATATAAATATTCTCCAAAGTTAGCCTACTGTCACTCTGAAATGAAAAACACTTTCTGCAGTACGAGTGCTGCTTATTGTCACGGTTCTTGTGTGCCTCTGTTAAACTGTAAGAGCTCGTAGCTTCTCTCCAGGTTTAAATTAATGTGCCTTGTGAGCCCCTTTTTCCAAAAGCTAACGTCAAAACTGCTCTGAAATCCGGTTAGTTTCGTAGGCATGTATGTTGACATTAAATCGACAAGCTTAAAAGTGTATGAAGTTTGTCTTTCACGGATTTTTGTCAGCACCTTGGGGTTTGGGTAGTAGCTTCCAAACAGGGCCAGAGTGTTCCGCGTTGACAGTGCTTTTGCAGGAGGGTTAGTTCAGGTGTCTGTTTTTAGCGCCGTTTCAGATACGGTAGCCAGATCTCTGTGCTCGGGTCATGTTTGTTGTTCTTGCAGAATGGGGCCTTTACTTTAATTTCAGCAATATAAATCGCCACGGGCTAAGCAGGCTGCCCCTAAGGACTCCCTGCCTCCCACACTCCCCCCCACCCCACCAGCCTTCTAAAAACATGATTAATTAAACTGTGAAAAGAGGCCTTCAGTACCCACAGTGTCCCCAACATCAGGCTTCAGCCGCCTGTCTGACTCTGTATTTTGGGTTGTTATTTTGTTGTATATCTTTCTGTGCCAGGAGGAAAATCGACTGTGGGTTCTGCTTGTTGGCTGATTTATTTATTCATGCGTTCACCGGGGAGCAAACTGCGATGACTTCGGTGGCCTCAGGCATGTACTAATGAATTTCTCCCTCCTCCCAAAATCCACAGAAAACAAACTCCTCGTCACAGAAGGCTCCCCCCCCCCCAACACTGTTTTCACGCAGTCTCTTGACTCTACTGCTGCTCCTTATTTCCTGGCATGCATGCTCTTAACACCTACCATCTGACCGTGTAAATACACAAAAGCTTGTCCCGCTGCATATACAATAATAGCTGGCTGACTGTGCACAAGAAGACACTGTTTCAGTCAGGGGTATTTGAGTGAGGACAGGAGAGGCCAGAAGAATGAAAGCTGACTCCTGGGCAGCCCTTTTCAAAATTTGTGTCTAAGACCCAACACTTCTCAACGAGAAGTGCTTGGTGGCAACTTTATACTCCGAACACTTTAGAAAGTGATCCACTCCCAGCTGGGTTGTAATCCAACATTTGGCCAGCCACAACAGACTAGGCCCTTAGATCACTGTGTTTTATTTTTCTACAGTTCTCCAGAATAATTCAAGCCAGAAGTGTCAACAAAAGGCAGAGCTAAATAGCTCAGTAATGAACATGAAAGGGCACTTTCAGTCATGTATGAGCAGAGATTATGATGACTTGTCGCAGCTGTGGTTAAAGTTATAATGGCTGTCTGAGAGTGGCACGGCTGTGTTGGTGGGGTTGGTCTTTTCACATTAGGAGGTTCGAGTGAGGAGCTGCATTATAGAGTACAGCTGTGCAAGAACAAGAAGAGCTTCATTCCATACTGGAAAGTGGAAAGAAAAATCTGCTCACACCTGAAGAGGGTTCAACGGCCAAAATATTGTGTCTTTCTTTCCAGTTTTTCATCAATTATATGAAGATTAACATGCATTAAGACCTTGCAGTGATCTCATTTTAAATGCGTCTACCCCATTCTACATAAGAAGTGATAATCGGATGCTATTGTACTGCAGATGAGGACTGACAATGCATATTACTGGAAAAACCGATCAAGGATTTGACATGTGCAAATATTCTGACCTGGTTGTATCTCATATTATTCCGGGCAGTTCTACAATGTGGCTGGTGTGCGTTGGCATTTCACATTACAGCTTATAATCTCTCCTAGATCTCTTTGTGGCCTCCTATATAATATAATAGTATTTGTCATCGGTTACTGAAACAATTATCAAGGCAATTATTTTGAATACCCTGTCTTATGAAAAACTGCACAGGTCCTCTATTTGAGCACCTCTGCTTATCCTCTTCGAGAATTCAAAAAGTGTGTTCTGTGATCATCTTGTTTAACTGCGGCGTAACATTTATTAGTGAAATGTAAACCTAGCAGTCCTCCAGTCTGCAATAAAGATCTCTAGAGATATTATGTGGTTGACTGATATTAGCCCTGTAAATTTAACTGCAGACAGACACAGTAGCCATATAAGCTTTCCTGGCTACTGAAGTTCACTTTCCAAAAAATGTATTTTAACACAAGTTCCCCCCCTCCAAAAAATCCACATTAAGAGAAAATGTTTTTTTTTCCAAAGGTCTCACGATTTATTACCTGTTGCTGTATGTCTCGTAAACCCGTGCCTTTTAAGGAACTGGGCTGTAAATTAATTGAAACTGACTAGGAGAGCTGCCTGTTTCTCCAGATTGTGTTTTCATAGTGAATTGGGTACTCCTACACATGCCAACACAGGCTTATGCATTTACCCATGGTCACGCCAGTCAGGTGGCACTGGGAAAGCTGTTTCCCATTAACGTAAAAACACTGGCCTATCTTTTGAAAATGAGTTGACTTTATTCCTCTTTGTTTCGTTTTTTTCCTCTGTCAGAGCAATGTAGGGTGCCCCCCCACACACGAAAGCACTCTGTCTCCAAGAGCCTGCGGCACCTTTTCCAGCCGACGAGCAAATTTGTGAAAAGCCTCAAAAGGTAACGGCCTCTCTTCGGTGCGATGCAAAAGTCTGCTGCTTTGCTCTTTATTTTAAAGATGCTGAGCCAGTGAATGTTAGGTCATCTGTCCATCATAGTTACCTGAACAGTACTGGCAAGTTTGTTGCTTTTCACCCCATTCCTGTCCCACACTGATAGATGAAAGTGGCTCAGAAGACCAGATCTCAAGCCATAAGTGAATACTTGAGTAGTTTAGTTAGATCCTAATGAATGCAATACAGGTACAAATACATTAAAGGTTGCAACTCTCCTAGCTGAAGGAACAGCTGCCTGACTGCAAGGATGAGGCTGATTGAACTCCCCTCAGTTTCACAAGGAATGAGCGAGGGAGCTGCTACAAGGGTGCAGGGGTGGTGAGAGGGGTCCAAGAGAGATGACAAAAAGGAGAAGATGACATATATATACACACATGTAGGAGAGCAGAAGTAGGTGAGATGGGGATCTAACTTTCTTCCCAAACTTCTGTTCTAAACTCCATAAATCTCGTTTCACTGTAGCATGTTTTATGGGGAAAACCCCCTCTTGAAATTAAGGTTGATTCATTCAAGTAGACATTTTATAGAAGCAGCTTAGCTCAAACTGGATCTTCTGCTTGTTCTGAGTTATGATCTGCGTAGCTGTTATACGTGTTTCTTGAAACTGTTTTCCTAACAATGTTAACAGTTTCAGAGGTATTACTTTATAACCTATTAGTGTATATCTGACATCTATTAAGTGTGCAGGCTATGAAAGAGAAAAAAGAAAAATGTTTCTGTCTAATACAGTCCTCAGTTTTATTCAATACACCACCCAGCTTTTACAGATAAAATGTGAGGTGACCCATGTGAGAGTCTGTTTTTTCACTTGAAGATTACGGTCTTTTCAAAATAGTCCATCATGAAAATTTGCAAACTGACTGTGTTGTTTTATCTTTTGAAGGGGTTTGTACCTAACATCCATATTGTACAGAGAAGACAACATTCTAGTCACGCCTGAGGACCAGATCCCAATTGTGGAGATTGACGATTCTTACTCCAGTTCTCTGATGCAAGACTTTCTCTGGTTCACCAAGGTCAGGCTTTCCCTCACAAAGTGAAGTCTTACACAGGCTCACATGTTCATAGTGGTAGAACCTACCCTGGTTCTGAAGGGTATAAAGCAGATTCATCTCCCTAAGATGTTAATTGTTGTATACTGGCACCCCTTTATACAGATGGAAGAACAGAAGCAGTTGGGGATAAAATATTGCAAAGGTACAATATAAAATTGTAAATTGGAGACTTAACCCCATTAACTTTAGCTTTACTGTAGGTCCAGAGTTGCAACCACTCTTCCAGGCTGTCTCCTTATACCAAGCTTAAAAGAATTACCAGAACCTGCTCCCTGTTTTAAGGTGTACTGTTTGTGCTAGGGTGTCAGAAAGACTTTAAAAGAAGGGGGATATGGATACAAAAGAGGAAGAAAACGCACCCCACAAAATCCCTCGAGTTAATATAACCCCCATGTCACTGCCCTACTCCAACATTTGTCATCCAGTGATATAAAAGGTCAATTAAAATCAGCTGTCAGAGCCAGAGCACTTCCTAAAGAACTCACCATCTGTGTATTAAAAGGATGGATCTGTAAAAAGAGATAGTAAATGTGACATCCTGTTGGCACTGTCTCTTATACCTGGTTCCTAATTACTGTATAGTCTGAAAATTTTTCAATGCACGGGTTTAAGTAACAACATTTCTGTGCAGAGGTGTCACTTGTTAGTATGTTAAACCAATATATTAGAATGCATATTTCAGATCATTGCTGATGATTTCTCCTAAAGCTTCTACCAACAGTGTTTATGAGCAAAAGGACCTGAACAGTTGAGTGGGATGCATTTGGACGTAGGCCTGTGTTCACATAGTGCTCTGTAGCACAAAAATCCTGATGGCGCATTTTTAAGACAAGAAACAGACTCCTTGTGTATACAAAAGGGAAAGATTTAAACAACCTAGGGGGAGCTTAAAGTCAACGTCCTGAAAGATATATTTTCCAGTTTGTACTTTATTTATGTTGTTTAACTTAAGAAGGGCTCGTGTGGGCTCAGCGTGGTTTTGAGTGTTGCATAACGCCCTCTATTTGTGAGTCTGGGAATGTGTGTCTGGGTCCTACCAGGCTTACAGTGCTGGTGTCGACGCTGCAGGTGTCCTGTCTCTGGGAAGAGATTCCTTGGATGCAGCAGTGCCTGAGCCCTTCCCAGTCCTCCTACTCCTGTGCTCTTCAGACGCGGCTAAAAATGTTACAGGCCGTTTCTCAGCTGCAGGTAACACCCGCTCCCCTGTTCCCTGCCACGCACCTCGCCAACTCGGACACTACTGCATTCTGTACTTCATAACTCTTAGCTGAGAATTGATGCTCAATCAGCCTGTCAGTCACAAGAAGGAGCAATGCAGAGTGTCGCAAACGGACTACAGTATGTAGCAAAAGTGCATTTTATTTAGCAAGAACTGGGAGGTTTGCAGATCCGGCTAAGTCAGACATCTGTTTTGCTGTATGCCTCTTCACAGTCCTTGTGTTACATCCATACAGTATTTAGAAGTTGGCACATCACTCAGAATTTGCTGGGTGCCGGGTAGCATCATGTTTCATATCTTGGTTGGACAGTCAGAATTAATCAGTAAAGGTTTATTCCATGCTGAAAAGAAAAGAGACAACATTGTGGCTGTGGAGCCTTCTTCAGGTGTGAAAGCGAAACATTGTGTCTCTTTTCTTTCAGAATGAGCTTTTACCTGTTCCTTTACAGCCTAAACATGAATGCCTCATTAACACAAATAGGCTTTTCAGAGTTATTATATAAGGAACATCTTGGGAATAGGAGCAATTTGATGTCCTTATCAGTTTGCTTTCATTGTTTTTTTTTTCTTTGGCAAGAATAAACCTGTAATCAGACTTGACATTTAACAACAGTGACTTAACATTGAAGCACCATAATGTAACCTGTGTTAAACGCTCAAAAGCACTGGCTAAACACAAAATCTTCCACCACAAGACGCAGCAATTCATGCTCCCTTGACGTCTGTCTGGAACAGGGCATGCTGGGAACACAGGATCTGGGGAGGGTGTACTTTGAGCCCATCAAGGACAAGCATGGCAACGCTCTGCTGGTGACTCTCCGTGACCTGAGCGCCAGCCCAGGCCTGGACAGCGTACGATGGGCCCAGCTCTGTAAACTTCAGCTGCAGCGCAAGTCGATTTCATCACCTGAGGAGCCCACTGCTTTGGACATGCTGCTGATCACCCTGCACGTAAGTGACGCAGGAAACAGCACGTCTCCCTTTGGTCAATTCTCCTCTCTGCTTTATGAATGCTTTTTGGCATAAGCTAAATCAAAACCTTGTCTGATCTGACGAGAATTTTTTTCCAGCCTCATGCATGATGCCAGCTTTCTGTTTGCCAGTGACTTCGGCTTCTGTGCAATGGAAAGTCACAATTGATTGGCTAATCCGTAAAGCTAGGGTTTGTCTTAACCTGGGCTGTAACTAGATAGTCAGGGTTTTATCCCTTTCAGACCTGTGTAGACTGCCCTTCTCTCTTTAGCCCCAGAGAAAGCTGTTAGTACGAAATGGAGGACATGGCTCAAATCAACTTACCTACCTGCCCATAGCAAATTCCACTAAGCCCATGACAGGTCAGCTTGCTGTTTGCTACAGGCATCTCGCCTCTGTCCATTGGAAAGCTGGCCATCAGCCAGGGACTTAGGAATTTATGTTTGGCAGGTAGGTCAAAAGTTTTGATTTAATCCACTGTCAAAAGTCACTTTTTAGCCCCATATCTTGATTTAGCCTGTGTTTCAAACGCAGAGTTGACAAATGAGGTTAATTGCTTATTCTAGATCCTTCTTTTAACTCATATGTCACTCTTGCAGTGTTGATTGGATGTTTTTTTTGTCTTTGTCCCTTTTGATTATTTATCCTCTTCAGTATAAACAAAGAGACAAAATAATTGCAAAACTGACACCCAGCAAATGTGACTAAGTGCGCAGGCAACAATGTGCAGTTTTTATAAAAAAATAGACATGAAAAATTCCAGGAATCATTCAGAAAACACAACAATGGTAATAAGACAACAATAAAACAACACATTCTGTGTAAATAATAAGACAACAAGGCAATGCTAATAAGGGCAAAGTAAAGGAAAATAAAAAAATATGATAAAAAATTATATTATAACAGAAAATTGAAAATTATTATTGAGAAAAATATGTTTCGCACTCAACTGATTTACCAAATCAGTATGAGTACATATAGCCTAGGCTATATGTATAAAATATGATAATAAGCTGACTATAATCTCCCAATGGAAATGACTTTGGTTGAACACTATATTTCATGTAAAACCATGAATTACAAAAAAATGTCAGGTTTGAACATGCACCGTACACACTGTGGCACTGTGGCAGAAGTGATATGCTGAGATTTTCAGTTTCATGAATCAGAAAGCTTTCTCTGATTTGAGACAGTTATTGGCTTTGCATTAAAATCTGATCTATGATCTTAATTTCCATAATAATACTCAATGGAATTGCTCAATTTATTGTTTTGTGTGTGTTTTGTTTTATATGTCACCTATTGTTAGAATCATGTTTGTCATTCCAGCCTTTTGATTGCTGTTTTATGATTTTACCAAGCAGTAAAGTCATGTTGTGGACAAGCTGTAAAGGGTCTAAAAAACATCTGAACATTTGAGCACTAGGTTTTATCGTGAATTTTGTTATTTGCGTACAAACTCGACAAGTGTCGACCTATGAATAGTGACACTGGCACCTCTAGACAGTATATTTCCCCACACGTTTTCATTTTGTCTAAGGAAGTACTGATAGTAAAGGCCAATGAGATCTTTTTATAGCCTCCATTTTCTTTTCATTTATAGCACTTGGCTGTTTCACTGTGCCTAATTGCTTTATTTTGTCATCTGATTTCAGGGATCGATGAAAATGAGTTCTTTTCTCTCCATTATAAATAGAATCTAAATGTTTAATACAGCATTTCTCATAACACAGTGACAGCTCATTGCCGAGATGCATTGATTTTTCGGTTTTCTTCACAGCGTATTCAAGGCAAACAACTTGGGCCCTATTTAAACCTTGTCCTCTGTTATTCAAAATACCTTTCAGCAGTAGTAAAGAAGTAAATATGGAAAGTGTTTCAGAGCATGACGGAGCAATTCCTCTGACGCTGCAGAAGCACACAGAATGTGCACATTTATGAAATTCATAAACCACTCATCTCATCTGAAAGACTTCCAATATATCATAGGGGCTATATTTACATTAACCGAAAGGGCACAGACCTGAATGGTGGTCTTCTATAGATGTTTTTCATAAAGATTTGCCAAAAGAGAGAAAGACATTTCCAATACATTTGCCTCTAGGCTCACTTTATTACGAAATTTATGCCATCTTGGAATGTTCCACCAGCATGAGAGTGTATTTTCTGCACATTGTAAACCACTATAACATCCATTATAAAAAGTTCATAAAATCTTTGTGAACATGACCCCTAACCACAATACTGTATTTTATCAGCAATTACCAAACATTACATGCTCAGTTAGCTGTGGCTTTGTCGTAAATGTAAAAAATACAAAAACAATCTTTTTATAACCTGTGGCGATCCATTTAGAACATTTTTTAACCTAGCCCTAGAGAAGAGAGACGCTGTGTTTGCTATTTGAGCTCTTATTTACATAAGGAATCCATTAATTACATTAATCACTCCAGCTTTTGGAACATTTTCTAAAGGGATTTCAAGGTACCCTGAAATCAACTCTTTATGAGCTGCTCTAGATAGATAAATTAATTTTCAGCTCAACTAAGGTTTTAGGTAATTAAGTGTGAGAAAACGGGCAGGTGCACAGATATTGAAACACCAGGGCAACAGAAAAGACTGTGATTTGTTTTTACACTATACCTTCAACCAAGCAAATTGCTTGCTCTAACATGACCTTTTTAGAGCAAAAGGTTTTGTTAATTCAAGATGTCAGGGAGAATTTTGGTTTCCCGATGAGGCTAAAGTATTTCAGCTGTGTTCCTGCATGTTGCATGTTGGGTCCAAAGTAGAGTGGTCACCTCCCGGTGTTGTGTGTTCCAGGAGAAGCTAGCCTATCATCGGCGCAGCAGGCAGACCCTCTCCCCAGGCCTTTACCTGGGCTACCTGAAGCTCTGCAGCTCTGTGGATCAGATCAGAGTCCTGGTGCCACAGAAGCTGCCCAACATGCTTTGCCACGTCAAGATCCGGGACAACCCAAACGTCTCCAGGTGGGATTCCCATGTCTTTCCCCCTTATCCATTTGGTTCCATTAAAGGGCAAGGAATTGTGGGGTAAAGTACCTTCCTGTTGTGTCACACAACAGGTGCAGATTACCCTGAATCGATTCCATTCCATTTCTTCATTCTTACGAATGGTTAATCCAGCGGTTCGCTCGAATCCCAAGTAAGGCAGAGTGCAGGTGCGATTTGTATAATGTAGGATGAGCTTTATTGGGGTAACTCGTCTGTCTGAAGAAAATGGCAGCCCGTTGGAAAGGACAGGGCTGTTGGACCAACACCCACCCCCCCCCTTAAATAAAGGGGAAGACTGGGAGCTACTGCAAGGATGAAGATGGGGTAGAGGGAGTGGGTTGAAAACGATCCATGATATTTATACAAAGGCAGGCAGAAGAGGGTGAGATTAGGGTTTGACCTTCTCCCAGATGGTTGTTTTCAATGCCAAATGTTTTAGTTTTCTGCTGGAGCAAACGAGCAATAAATCAGTTCATGTTAAACACCAACCCCAGGATCATACAACACTGCCAACTGTTTCTGTTTCATAGTCCATATTTGTTCCATTATTGATATTTGGTTTCTCATGCATTTTTGGTGTAGATTCTTCGGTTGGTCATTGTAGTCTTAAAGGGGAAGTTTGTCTTGCCAGTTGGCTTTGTGGCTAAAATAGTGTGTGATTGGCTGGCAGGGAGGAGTGGGAGTGGCTGTTGAGCCTTGGCTCGTTGGAGGACACGGTGGCGACAGAGCAGAGAGTGCACAGCCCCCAGCAGCTCTTTCTGCAGGACCTGCGCAGTGCCGCCATGGAGCTCATGACGCACATCAACATCCCGGTCAACCAGGTGAGGGGCTGGCTGGTTCACATCAGGAGCCCTGCCATGTCTAGAGTCCCATTGCATGTCGATTCCATTTCAGGTTTTTCACAAGCTGCAAGCTCTCCTAACAAGAAGAGTAACAGCACCTTGCTGGCAATTTCAAGCTAGTAACCTTATTTTGAATGTGTGAAGTTAAGATACTGTATCATGATGACTTTGGATTTCTGTTTCTATAACCTATTAAGCTTCAGATAGAACAAACATAGACATAAAGGAATTCTTTTCTGCTGCTTTTTGACAGAACATATGCAAATGTTGCAGAATTCAGCATTGTCTTATTTGAAGCCATAATCTTGATGGCTGTAATAGACTTATTTTTGATTAGTGTGACCTGACTGCTGTGTTATCTATAAAATAAAACCTTTCTTGGATTTCTCGATAATAACACATACAGAAGATATCGGTAACTGGGAAGGAGGAGATGTATTGATGACGTGGACATACAGTACATCTTTCAAGCAGTCGTTTTAAAAAAACATAATTTGGCTGGCAATAATTCCTTCAGTGTTCCAGCTCATGCATCTTTAACATGAATAGTTTATTAATATGTGTAAGTACTGAAAATTAAAAATGAGGCTGGAAGACTGCCTGTTTCTTTCAGTTCCCTACAGATTGAGTTGATTTCATCAGGGAAAGCTACTGCTAACTGTGAATTTATGTATATTTTTAGTTTAGAAATACAGGTTTGTGAAAGAACCCACCCCTGATACACATACATGAGCAGTATCCAACTCTAAATATCAAACCCTTGTTTGCCCATTCACATTTGACATTGTAGGAACTTCTTGGCTCTTTTCTTGTTCTTGGAGGTGGCCAACATCTTTGTCCCTATAGCCAGGAGTCCTCTCTATCAGCCAAATGGCTTAATACCAAAATCCAACAATCCAAACCAGCAGTCATTGGTTTCATAATCACCATTGAATTGAAAATGAGCCCACATTTTGCGGGCCTTGACATGATTAATAACCCGTGGTGGAAGGAACAAGAATATTGTACCATTACAGACAATAAAAGCCTAAAGAAAACATGCTAACTTTAGTTTACGGGTTGCAAATGACACTTCACAACTATTTAACACAGATAAAAATTGAAGTATTCATTAATGAAACATTTACATATGAGAACATGACATTTTTAATAGGCATGCAATTAATCATTTGTGTTCTGTTAACCTATTATAGATGGTCACTAATTCATTAGCATAATTTGCATCCCCTCAAACCAATCTCAAACCTTTTTCTGTGGACAAACAATCCCCTTCGACTCATCTCCAGTATTCCGACTGAATTCAGCCTGTATTCCCTGAATGCCGTATTTCCTCTTTCTCAACAAGGCTCAGGAATTCCGTATCTACAGCCAGGAAGTGCTGGAATTTGGCGAGAAGGTGTCGATGCTGTTGCTGTTGCCCCCTTCCGATGATGTATGCACCGCTCCGGGGCAGAACAACCCCTACTCCCCTCGATCTGGCTTCCTCACCCTACCCCTGCAAATCTTCGAGCTGGGTGAGGCACAACGGCGCCCTCTAGGCCGAGGCTGACACCAGCAGTGTTAACAGTTTCAGATACGGTCTTCTCATTCGCGGTGGAAAACATTTGCTCATCCTGGTGCTGTAGAGATAGCGATTTAGCCCACTCTTTGGCTACTGATAAATACTGTAGATGACACTCACCTTTAATGGTAGGAAAACGGGTATTTGCAGTGTTTAGGTCACACGTCATTTCAAAAAGAACAACTTGGTACACAGATTGGAAGTACGCACAGGCCCCTGAAAGAATAAGAAGACTGGTTAAGATTCAGTGTATTTCTTCAAAATGAATTGGGACAGGTTCTTTGCTCTGCTTGCCTGTGGTATTTTTAGAGATTCTTATTACCTTTCAATCATGTAGTTCCTTTTTGATGATACATATGTCATGCAAGGGTCATAAGTAATATGAATAAGGTTTGAAATAATTGACATTTATACATTGGTGTTCATAAGTGTAGGTAGTAAAATGTGTGGTTTCAGGGCACAATCTTATTGCAGATTAGTGGAGAAGGGGAGCAATCAGAGCTGGTCTGTAGGTCAGTAAGAAATGCTTCAAAGCATTTCTTGTAGCAGATCTACAGTATATAATGAACATTGCAGTTTTCACATGCTTCAATGTGAATTTACTTTGTTTTCTACACGGAGAAAAGCTAAATGACTAAATAAACGAAATGGACGTTTTGGTTGCAATTCTTGCTTGGTCTGCTCCTCTGAGTGGTTTCAGGGTGCCATGTTGTGATGGTGTGTGCCCTGTCTTTGCAGTGCATTTTGATGCCTACTGCCCGAGCTTTATTGGGCAGTACTGCCGTGTCTCGGCCCTGCTGGAGCTGGAGTCGCTGATGTCCCAACAGACCCTGCGCGAGGCTTTCTCCGAGTCTGAGCTGCTGGCTGCCAAACAGAAACACCAGCAGGTCCAGGAGCACATGCAGGTGAGACCCACGCCACTCCCACTTCAGAACAAAGCCCACAAACGTCTGTTTCAGGGGCTGTGGCAAAACTACAGCAATAGTTTAAGAAATAGTTGAGCTCCTTGCATTCAGTCTATATTACTTAGAAAACAAATCATTTGGATTTGGTCTACTTTAAAAAAAGTGTATTGTTTAAAAAAAAACAAAAGACAAAATGTGTAGCAAGGAAAAATGTAGATCCTGTTTAAATCCAACTTTAATATTGATTTTAAATGCCTCCAAGCTCAGAGTTAGAAGTAACGGCATGATTCCACACCATACTCCCAGTGCCTCATTTTAAACAGCTTTGAAGGGTTCATTCATGGAACGGCCTTTTAGAAATGCTGCAAGTGGAGAAGATATTTTTCAGCTCCTGTTTTAAGACGTCTCCAATGAGTGACCAGATTTGAAATCCCTCAATGTATCTCTTGGTTTGATCAGCAAATGGAAGAAGTGTGGAGGGAGGCTCGGTGGATCATGGACTCTCTGCAGTATGCCAGGTACAAGCAGCCGTCTGGAGGCGTCTCCCTGGGCTGGATCATCGACTTCTCCCAGGACGTGGTTCCCGATAAGCCGAGCTCCACCTCCTCGCAGCCCGATTACCTGCCCTCCCCGATGCCCTCGCCCGAGACCAGCCGCAAGCACAACTCTGGTGAGAGAATCACACTCTCCCTGAAGCCACAGCACAGCCGCCCTCGGGAAGTCTTTTACGGGGGCAGGCTGTGGTGCGGACAGCTCTGAACCTGAAGGCTGCAGAAGAATATGAGGTTGCAAATGTGAGGAAAGCTGTCTGGCCCAGTTAGTTAGTTTGGCTAGATCTGAGATCCAAAGAATCAATTGGCAATTCCATAATGGAAGAAGATGATATGAAAAAAAAAACCCACAAAATTGTGAAATTTTGTGTCCAGCTCAATAATAAAACCCCTCGGTTTTTCACCGTTGGCTTGGCTTTATTGCGTAGTTGGAGTAGACTATGTTAACCCGTGGCATCCCAGTGATCAATCTGACCTCGATGTTACTTGTGCAGATTTCCATGGCCTCTCGGATGAAGAGGGCTCTTCGGAGGTCTTCCTCACCACGGACAGCGATTACGACTCCAGTCGAGCACAAAGCCCCCGGGAGCTGGACCTGCTACCCCCCTCGCCCTGCTCCTCCGCCATGGAGCCGGGTTTCTCACGCGAGGGTGCCGGGGGCCTGCGGGACTGCACGCCGGATGTCCTGCAAGCCTCTGAGCCCCCGCCCCCCGAACCCGGGGACAGGAGGCACCCGGCCGAGCTCTTCGACAGCGACTTCATCCTCCCCAGCCGGCAAATCGAGCTCCTCCGCATCACCGAGAAGCGCCAGGCCTTGTGTGTGCGCACCAGCAGCTTGGAGTTCCCCGCGTCCCTCGCCTCGCCCCAGCGCCGCTGGCACCGGCCCTCGTCCGTCGACCGCTGCTCCACCGAGAGGGGCCACCCACCTCTCCCTACCAGGGCCAGGTCGGAGGAGGGGACCACCCGCTTCTTGGAGCCCTCGCCCGGTGCCCGAAGGAAGAGCTCATACATGACAATACGGGTTTATCCTCAGTACCGAACTGGCCTACCCAAGGAAACCAGTGTTAAGGTATGAAAGCGCATTTAATCCCTACACTTTTCCTCCTCATCCTAATCTCCACCAGGTCCTACAAATTAATTTGTGGGGCCTCCTGAGTGGGTCAGCTTGTAAAGGTGACCACTTGAGTGGAAGGTGGGCTCTATGGTTTGAGCATGATTCCGGTCACTAGCTGACTGGGACTGAGATTACCCAAGCATGACTTGCACAGTGCACAACTGACTGAGCCCCACTAAGGGCACTGTGGGATTAATTGGCGAAGGTGCCTTCCACTCTCAGTGACCCAGCAACACTTGTGACCTCTTTTTGCAGGCATGCCATGCCATCGGTTAAGCATGCATCGCTCCTCTAGTCTGCACTGAATCTTATTCATAGATGCTGTGCTGCTTGTGATGTGTTAAAAGATGAGTAGTTTGAAGTTGGGCATGTGAAAGGAGTCAGCCTGCACTCACCTGCACATTCTCCCCAGTGTGCAATCATTGTTTCATAGCTGAAACACTACAAACACACAACTGGCTATTCTATTTTAGGAGCATGTTCCAAAAACAACATATGATTCTATAACAAATTATATATTATACAAGAAAATTGTATAATTGTATAACTTGTATTGTTATTGTATATTGTTATATACAATTGTAGAAATTGTATAACTTGCATCAGACAAGTTTCTTTTCATGACATTTTATCTAATATGACAGATTCTCCAACAAAGTTACCCAGTGCAGTACTTACCTTAGGCTTCCAATAAATGTAACACTTAAATTAAAACATTTTATTCAGTCTCAAAATTGGTCCTGTTAAAACCTCAGTGATATAAGCTTTACAAAATATCCTATGCAAAATTACATTTTTCAAGACTTGAATTATGCGTTCCACAGCTACTTTGTTTTGGCTGTGATGCTGTGCACTCTGAAAGCAGTCGATGTCTTGTTTTCTAGGTTATGATTTTGTCATTAGAAGTTATGTGGTACAGATTTTTTATAGTCTTCTACTTCCTGGATCATATCTTCACTATACAGATGCTCTGCTATGTAACTTAAAGAATAATAGTGAAATGGTCTTTTACTGTATGTCAAACATAAAATATATTTTTTCTAAAAACAAATTATACTTTCAGCTTTTTAACATCATATGGCGTTATTTAACGGACATTTGGGAAGAGGTAAATCTTGAATTTCTGCTTTCCAGTGATAAATCCTTGCTGGCTGCCCACAACACCACATGCATATTTTGTAGTGCTGCTCCCTCCACCCCCAACTTCACCCTTTCAGCTTCCTCCCTGGCTCATTCCTTGTAAGTGGGGTGGTGACAGCTCTGACCTTCTGCTGTTATTTCCTCAGCCAAGTACGACAACGTTTTAAGCATGTTTTCCCTTTGTTATCGGCGACTGGTTTCACCGCTACTAGAATTTGACCAACTGGTGAATGAATATTTGATCAGTTCTGTACTGGAACCTGGTTAAGAAACTGTTTGCATTCCAGTTAACTCCAGTGCAGCTCAGCCATGTGCCGTTTGTCCCTCCTGTCGTACCTCAGCTCCGCGTCACACAGAAGACGTCCGTGAGGGAGATGGTGCGGCTGGTGGTGCAGGAGATGAACGAGGTGTCCCGGAGGCTGCTGGGAAGCCCGGAGGAGTTCATTTACAGGGAGGAGCAGCTGGAGCACTTTGGCCTGGTCCTCGTGGTGGACGACAAGGAGAAGTGGCTCCAGGAGGAGCTCCGCCCGCTAGAGCTCCAGAACCCGTGGGTCCGCGGGAAGCTGTGCGTGCGCGTCAAGGAATACTCCCCGCTGGCACTGCAATTCAGCCGCGCCACTACCGTTTGAGAGAGAAGGGAACCCCTGTGTCCCCCTGCTTCCCATTGGTCTGGCTCGTCTTTGGAGGAACTCAACTTACTTTAGGCAGCCTCGATGCCGGCCAGAAGTAAACCTCATCTGAGGTTCTTGCACGTCTTTACCTGTTACGTTTCCCGTTCGCAGCAGTTCCGACGTCTTTTTGTTTTGGTTTGTTTTTTTGTGCGACAGACGCTGCTGAGACTCTTCCCCCGTAATGCAGCCGATCCTCACAAGATCACGGTCCTTCAAATGTAGACATTGAACAGGATTAGCTACTTTTTTTGGGGGGGGGGAGGAAAAAATCCAAGACTGGCAAAAGGGATCTGTTCAAAAGGGTCCAAAGGTTTTTCTTTGGAGGGAGCAAAATAACAAGTGCTCTCAGTTTAGCGGAATCAGCCTGCAGGATAGCAACCACATAGAATGTGCTCGGGTATGAGAAACATTTATAGATGTTTCATATAGTGATGTTACGTGTACTTCTTATATTTAGTATTAAAAACATCCGATGCAGTCAAACGTACACTGTTCTGTGACTGCACCGCAACTGAAAACCCTAACCACTGTATTCTAGAGTCTCTCCAAAAGCACTTCTGGAGTGGTGGTGTTGTGTATAGGCTAGTGTCCATTCAGAGATGTAAACTATCAGATGTTAGCCTTCATGAAGGATTAAGGGTTCTTCCAGTTCAGTATCTATGCCCGTGAGGAGAGATACGAGAGGCCGTAAACTTATACTTGACATGAAATAAATGCAAAACATGGAGACTGGCTGAGAGCCATGGACTTACTGACTCGATGGGTTGTCTTTCTCAGGATTGTGGAAGAGGTAAGAGGAGCTGAAACTCTTGAAGAATGAACTGCACCGTTTACCAAAGAGACTCTGAAAACGCTGGTTAAACGTTTATTGTTTCTCAGACAGTTGCGACTGGAACTGGCAAAAACAGATAGTTATATTGCAAACAATTTGCAAGCAGGAAAAACTCAAGAGAAGCAATATTCTTCTTCCAGATCCTTTTTTGACATGTGTAGGAAGCCTTGAATCTTCCTGAACTTGCAAAGACGCCGAAGATGTATATCATGCTGTACTAGTCATCAGCCTAGATGTTTGTATTTGTGTTTGTTATACAGATTAGTGATATATCAGTTGCACAAAGTTAGGGGAGTTATTTTTTTGTTGTTGATGTTGATATTCTTTCATTTTGTAAGTTTAAGTACTTGCGTTAGTTATCTACTGAAGTAAAAAAGAGTGTCCTTTTCCTTCCCCATTCTTCAGACTCGGTGTCTGAATGCTTGTTTTAACCTACAATACTTAATCTGTCTGGGCAAAGAGGAAGCTCTGATTGTTTATTTTGACTTCTAAGAGCTCTGTGTTTGCTTCTGTGGGTCCAACAAAAACAAGTCTTGTGGTATACTGATGTTTATTTGTAAGAGACAAGTCTTAGTTCCACTGACACAGTTTCATTATTGTGTAAGAACTTAGATGTATCCTTCAGTTTCTACAGTCCGTTTCAGTTTTACTGTAGGGATGAGCTGCACAATGTATACAAACCAGATGTAAAGGGGAATTCTGACAACAAACTACAAAGGGGATATAAGGTGCTTCGCAGTCTTACTTGAGCAAAGTTTCAGTTACAATTTTTGTTTAATGCTGTTGACATGAAGCTTCTGTGCTATTTAGGGTAACTGAAAGGGTCCAAGCTAGCTAAGACTGCAGTGAACTACATGTACAATATCCTGTTTTTCACCTCTAACGTTTTACGACATATGAAGATGCAGAAATCTCTGCTTCCCACAATTCAGCAATCTGAACAGCCCGGTTCATGAAGAAGACATGACATCATTTTTTAAAGTCTATTTTTATTGGATAATAAATGAATATTATTAAAATTATTAATGTGCATTTCATTATTTTTTTTTACTGTTTTGCATATCTTGTAGAGTCTCTATATAGGTCTATGAAAATATTTTGTATTTTGTTTTACACTTACTGTTTCCAAGCCACCTAAACAGTGAAGTTTGGACTACCTGGATATTAACTTAGCCTAAGACTAGATCTAAGCAGTGAAAACTGGCCCAAATGCTTATTTTTATTTGTTAAAGGGATGAGATGTGTTCAGCAGTAACTTAATCCATAGAAACAAGTTAGTTTTGTACTGTATTTCTTGATAGCGACACATATCCTTCATTGCAAGGTCACTGTGAAAGTCATGTTTAAACACAGTGTGCCCCAATTTTAGCACGCCGTCAAAACGAATCACTGAAATAACTGTATCTGTCTGTCGATCCCTAAGAGACAAGCAGAGGCCTTTCTGGAAGGTGGGAAGATGAAATCAAGAATTGAGCTGGGTAAGGACGGTCCATTTCATTCTCTCGGTAAGGCCTTCGTCACACAGCAAACAGGCCATTTGCCCTGGATCAATGATGAAGATGACGAATTTGTATAAACCACCTTTCAAGGACTAATTACATATTTACATGATATGTTAAGAAGCCGTGGTAGCTCAGGAGGCAAGGGCGTCTAGCTCCTGACTGGAAGGTCCCGGGTTCAATCTCAGGTAAGTAATGTAGCTTGCTCTAATTCCTTCCAGATGGTTCCCAGGTCCACTCAGCCTGCTTTCCAAATGAGTACTGGGGGGTTAATCCTTCTGGGGGTAATAGGCAGGCCGGAGCGGGATGCTGACAACCTCACCTCCACCTCCAGTGTCGGATGGTTGAGAAAACATGGTGGCCCTTGCCCCCTGTTCCCCCATTGGCCTTTATAGCCTGAAAAGGGACCTACTTATCTTTTTACCAGGATGTGTTAAAGGGACGAGTACCTCGAAGATGGGTGTGCGGGGGGGGGAGTCTGCTTACAATGCCTCATTCTCTCCCGTATCCAGTCCTTCGTCCACAGGGATTGGTAGCTGTGTGCCCCAAGATGTGACCAGCACACAAGCGGCGATTCCAAATTGAGTTGAAGGTCACAACAAGAATCGTGGATTCGTGGTAATTGTGATACCCAGAGTGTGACTGACAGGTCTCACTTTGATGAACAGAGGTGGAACAGTGCTTGCAAGTGTATTTGAACCCATGTCTGACCCTCCCCCCCCCCACCCCCCCTTGTCAACTCAGGTTTGACCTTTTCAGTAGCTTCTGATTGGCATATATGTTTTCTTTCTTCTCAATGAACTGAAGCATTGAGGGCATTGTCATTAATGCCACTGAAAGGAGCCCTTAAAGGCACTGTGAATACCTCCAGGATTAAAAATCCCAGGATGCTTCCCATGGAGGCTCAGCATGCGGCACCCTTCGCCTTTAAGAGCAGTACTTAACCATTTTGCAAAAGTAATTTAAGAATTGAGCCGGAATTCTGACACCTCCTAATTTTAACCTGAAGACTCCGGGAAGAGCCGTGCTAATTTTAGCCCGGCACATCTCGAAATACTTTTAAGAAAACATTCCGAAAAGTCTGGGAATAGTCGTGATTCGCACTCATTAAAGAAATTCGGTGGAGTTATTTCGTCGCTGGTGAGCTGCCTGGTTTATGTCTGCTGCTGGCTGCTTTGAGAGGGAAGTACATTTTAAAAAGAAAAGGAATGGGGACAGGAGTTGTGGTGGCAGCGACCTGTGTGAAAAAGGAAAGCCGGGTGTCGGATTATACCTGAACTCAGGAAGTGCAGATAATCCGAGCCCATGATCTGATCATCTGATCTACCTGCTTTCAGGAAACATGCAGAACCTGAGCCCGAGATCAAAACGTTCCTATTAGGGCGGCTTTTCACAATATCCAGACCTGAGATCCGATCCTACCTGAATTTAGATTCTTAAGCCTGCGACGTGATCTTTCCTGCTCCTTCGCGGTTTAGAAACTCACAGAGCAAGACCTGTGCATGTCCTTCTGTCGCTGAATAGGTCAGCTGTTAGGTAAACCATAAATACTTCTAATCAGGTGCTTAACCCGGTACATATGAGCTGTACAAAATGCATCTACCCATTTTCTGTGGATAGTGCTTTTTATCATGTCAATCCTGTTTGCAAAGCCTTCCTCATCACTGGTATATTTAAAGCTTACAAAGCAAAATTACAGTTTGACAATATCAATTCCCCCACCGATCAGGACTTTTGCTGTAGAACCAAAAGAAAAAAAAAACGAGTTTGCTTTCACAACCTCACAGGAAAGGCGGATGTTCTCAGTGTTGAGAGAGGCTGGTGAAGCAACAGCTCAGATAAAAGATTGTCTTTATTCCAGTCTCACTGCTCATGAATTTAGTCCTGGTGTAATCTGAGAAACGGGACTGGCTACAGTACGGTGCAGAGCCAGCTCATGCTCTTCCATGCCAGCCAGCTATGCTGAACTTGAACCATTTGGCAGCACCTAAGGACAAAATCCGAGAATGCTAATGCCAATTTTAGAACACAATCCCAACATTAAAAGACACAATTACCATATCTGAGGCCGTGGAAACCAAGCAGGACGACACCCGCCACGGCCAACACAGACTGCTCGTCACCCTTTCCAGCAAAACCTTTTTGTATCCTTATTAATTACAGATGCCTTCCTCTTAAGTACACTCCTATAAATTGCCTGCCAATTGTCTATCCCTTCTCAGGCAGTGTTAAATAGACAGCACAAGGTGTGGCCCTTCCTGTGATTTTACCCAATATTCCAGGCTCTTTGCGGGAGCTGGATGCCAATGCCAATTCTTGGGCATGTCTGCTTTTATATGCAGTTCTGGCATTCCACAGCACATCTTGGGATTGGAGGGCACATCCTCACGCAAGACCGTTAAAACGGGGGGCTTGACCGTAACCCTGTGTCTTTTCGTTCCCTCCATCTGAGGGGTAATCTAAGGTGAGCTCCGATCAAGGGATGTGAGGGTGGATGGTGCCCGTGTCAGACGTTGGTTTCGCTGGGTAATGAAATGACTTAAGTCCGTAGGCTGGGGTTAGGATGGCTGTAATCCTTTCCTGAAATGATCCCACCCTGGAGACACATGGAATGAGGCTTTTAAAAAAAAATCTTAGCCTTCTGATATAATTAAGCATGCTAGCAGAAGCCCTCCTTCAATCTCATGCTAGAAATCTGTGCGTCATGACCTACCTCTTATTATAAAAGATTTGATAGTACTTAAGTATCCTTGTTTTAATAGCATGATTTTACCTTTTACAATATAAGTCTCACACTGATCAGACCAACCTCAACTCCAGCGCGGAAAGGCTACCCCAGACATTCAGGATAATCCATTTCAGTATTGCAGTACCTTCGGATAAATCATTTCTACAAACGTGATAGAAGCCAACCGGTGTCATCCTCACAGAAACTGTTGCATCTGTTTCTGTATTTTGGATATATTGGATCGATTGAATCCAATGTACTGGGGCCAATTGTATCCCTCCCATTACAACGGCAAATCAATGTCAGTATGATATTGATAGGGAAGCGTGCAATGACTCCCATAAGAAAAGAACAAGACTTTTTATAAATCATGCCTGAGCATATTGCTGTGTCAGGTTTTTATAAAGACTTTTGAATTGCCCAAATTTTATCTTGCTTACATACCTTTGAGTAAATCCGGCGCAGAAATATGAACTTGTCAATGTCCTGTCTCTAATGCTAAAGAAAATCTCCCTCAGAATCTCCCTGCCGAACATTTTTTGAGGCTTACTCGTTTTCTGCTTCTCGTTTATATATGGGATGATTTGTTTTTATGAATTTCTTAACATTCTTATCTCGACGTGCTAGCAGGAGGGGAAGATTTATATGACGGCAGACATAACTAATCCTTTGTGCAGGATCTGTCACCAGAAACCAATCTTCAGTTTAAACTGAGCTCTCCCTCATGCCCCAACACCCAAACCATGGGTGGTATTTTTCGGAAAGTTGTAAGACACTGCAGGAATCTCACTTAACCAGTTTTCAGGGAAATTGTTCCAAGGGGAGCTTTCCTCTCTTCCCTGCTCCAAAGGCAAATGCTCTTCTGCAGGAAAGCAGCTGACAGTCTGTTCCCTAGTGTTTCTCCTATTTAACAGCCAGGCTACTGTAACATTTTTTAATATTAAAAAAAAAGCCCGCCTTTATAGATCAACTGCGTTAGGTTTAGGAATCATGTAAGTTTCAATAGCTGCTTCACAGATCACCTGTTTTTCCTAGATTTGCCTCAACACTGAGTAAAAAAAAATGCGGTCAGCCTGTATACTACTACATCACGCCCTTCTCACTCGAAAGCCTGTAAACCTTTAAAGCACCTATAAAACACTTGGCAAGGCCTTTTTGAAGTTTTTATGAAGATCTGCCTTTATTGTTCCCCAAAGATGAGTCCAGCTCCACTGGCGCCTCTCAGCTTTCTATAAGTGCCAGTGAATTCAGAGGAGCAGGAGGGGAGGGGGGGGCTGGGATGTTTGTAGAGTTCCCAAACAGGGATGGGATGAGAAAGCATGTGGAACTGAATGTGCCTTTGTGTCTGCAGTGTGTGTGTGGGGAGGCTCTTTTGGAGGACACGGCAGAGAGACTTCTTGGCCTTTTTTTTTTCTTTCTTTTTGCTCTGCTCGTGTTCCTAAGAGCATTTAATTTGATTAATATGATTTGCGAGGGTGAATATTAATCGCCCCCCCCACCCCCTCCTGCTGTTTCACCAAGCCCGAGAGGCGGAACTGTCGAAACAGGGCTCTGAGCAGAATTCCAGTTCTGCTTCTTGAGTGCATGAAGTCAGTGGCAGCGAACGGATAGCTGTTTGCCTTGACTGAGGTACAGCTGGCTCTGACCAGTGAAATGGACCTGTATATGTGTGTCTTGCGCGGTCTTTTAAAAGCAAGTGATGACATGGTTAATTAATATTACTAGAAACTCTTAACATTGCGCCATAACCATGGATTAATATAAAAATGTTATGTGTGTGTACGTATTAACATCT